ATAGAAATAACTGACTTAAAACCATTTTTAGCTGGTGAAAATATTAGTGTTCTGATCATTTTGGCCACCACTGTATATGTTAAATATAGAAAAAAAGACTTCATTGTCATATATAAACAAGGAGACAACTAGGACCAGAAAAATATAAACAAGGAGACAACTGGGACAAGGAACTGTTTTGTACATTTTTTACCAAGAAATTCAAGTTGTACAAATTTCCACTGTTAAACATAAACAAAAAAGCGTTAAACATACATATCGCTTGTTTCAGACACATGTGCCTAAAACACTACAATCAGGTTGAAACGGAGCATGTAAAGCTCTGCTCCTGATGATCACAAGATCCAGATCCCGCGTGCTGTCTCCTACAATGCTTGCTTTCATGCACTCATGGCCATGGGGCCTTGTGATCCAGACAAAGCGGGCAAAACACTTGACCACATACTTGAAATCACACTCGAGAGAGAAATATGTATTACAAAAAACTTGCTTGCCTTTGGCAACACCTTTTTTTATGGACAATCAGTAAGCAATGATACTGCTTTATCATCTCTTAACCTTGCAATCATGTTTGCATTTACAGTGTTATTTGCATTCATATGGGTGGGCAAAATAAAAAACTGGAAAAGAAAAAGAAATTAAGATATGTTGAAGTCAGATGTTGATTAATTGTTGTTCTTTGGTAAATCAGACTACATTGGCCACGCTGTATGTTTTTGATTCACTAAAAAATAACTGGGCTCATAAGAATCGTTTTTTCATGAATCGGTCTACACTGGTCGTGCTGTATATGTTTTTGAATCACTGTAAAGAAGCGGTTCATAAGAGTCATTTATTTGTGAGTCAGACTACACTGGTCATATATTTTTGATTCACTAAAAAGAAGTGGTTCAAAAGAGTCAGTTGTTCATGAACTGGACTACATTGGGTGTACTTTATGATTTTGATGAACTATAAAAAGACACCAGCTCATAGTGTCATTAGTTCGTGAATCAGACTGTATCGTTTGCATAATGTTCTTTTTGAGTTCATCCTGCAAAAACAACTCAATAGCCATTTCTTGCCATTAGTTTGAGGTACATAGTTCTTTAACTGCATGACAGTCAATACAGGCCTACGTTCACAATTCAGTTAGTTTTAGCTGCATCTAAAATGCAGTGCAGGAAACACTGTTAAGTGCTGAGGATTTGGAAGTAAATCCCATGGAATGGATTTAAATGTGATAAACAGAGATTAAAGTCCTATATTATACTATAGGGCTTGCTTTTACCTTAATTTATCCGTAAGTCGGCCGTGATGATATCTTGTTTATATGTGCTTGATAAGATTAAGATAAAGGTTTGAATGAGCCACTGAACCTGTATCTTAGAGATTCCGTGTTTATTTGATTTAATGCCAAACCCCTTAACATTAGTTTTAAAATAAAGCTGATTCCCTGGATTAAATCATGGGTTTGTAGCTGACAATTAGGGAATAACTATGGGACAGTTTGCTGGTAGCCAAGAGCATTTTAACTTAATTGCATGAGTGGAGTAATGAAGTGTCTCTTTCTCACTCTCACACATTCAGATATATTGTACAGATGCACAGGCCAGCTGTTAAAACCCTGGCCTTTGCCAAAAATTGCCTCCATCCTCTTGAAGATTGTCTATTCCTCTGGAGCCAAAAAGAGAACATGGGCTCATCTGAATCCAAAAAGGCACTTATTATTATGGAAGTGTCAAATCTACCCTAGCTTCCCTGTAGAAAACAAACCCAGTAAAAACAAGCAAGAAAGTGAGATTAAAAACAGACACATGTTTAATGCCTTCTGTGGTGATAGATGATGTCTGCACACAAAATTTTTAGCAAGAACTTGCAGTCCAAAGAAACAATTTAATTTGGTGGCAGAAAATGCTTGTTTGTTTACTTGGAGAGCTTAAATCAGCACTACAGTGGACATAAATACTATTTTATCAACTTTAATTGGCTCTGTAGGGCTTTTGACACGATGCTTAGTGTTTTTTTTAACCCTGGACTAAAGATGTGTTCACATTTACTGTTGTTCAGCAAATGTTTGCAGACAAAATCCAGACATTGCAAAGCTAAAGTTAAACAGTGTAAAAAAATGTGGCCCAAAAGTTTTTTTGAATTAAATTATGATTAAATTACTGATACTTCAGTATTTCAACTTAGAAAACAAGGCAAAAAAAATAAAGTTATCTTTGTAGATATCTAGTTGACTGGCTAAAGTGCCTCGGACAAAACACTGGCTGTCTTTCAAAGATTTGATGCTACTAAACTGAACCTTTTCCAAATCCAGTGATTATAGATCTTCCTCAAAAGCACTTGTATTAACCTGGTACCTTGCATTTCACCTCTTCTCCACCTCGTACTAATCTAGCTTACACATGGTATTGTATACTATGAATACTGTTGGCTCTTATTATGATGAATTGTTTGATATGTTTATCATTTCTAAGTTGCTTTGGATAAAAGTGTCTTGTAAAAGCATGTGTGTTAATAAATGTACAGGGAGAAACCCCAAAACCTGACTACCTAAGACTAAATTAAATGAAGTGTGATAAGTCCATATCACCTTCAAACAAATTCTTCTTCCTTCATGTTCTTCTTCTTTTTATTCCCCTCCTCAGATCTTTTCCATTGTGATCTTTGGATGCATTGCTAACGAGGGCTATGTGAACCGTCCAGACGAGGTGGAGGAGTATTGCATCTTTAACCGCAACCAGAATGCCTGTAACTATGCCGTGGGTATGGGATCCCTGGCCTTCCTCTGCTGTGCCGCTTTTATGGCACTGGATGTCTACTTTCCTCAGATAAGCAGCGTTAAAGACCGCAAGAAGGCTGTGTTGGCTGATATTGGTGTTTCAGGTAAACTGTTGATATTACATGTCAGTATTTTTCTATCACTGATTAACTGCAAGCCTCCAGCCACACTATTGACACTCTTTTCACCATACTAAAAGTGTCTCTATGAAGGTAATGTTTCCCATATACACTTGATTTTAAGGTGTTCTTGGCTCAAAAGCACCCCTAGAGTCTAGATCTGAACTTCCGCTACTGCAGCATTAACTTCCCTCTATTGGTAAAATGTACCTTCAGCTAGATTTACTGCAGTGCTGTGCTGAATTTGTGGTGCAATAGCGCCATCTAGGCCCTGTAAATATGAATTGACCATTTTATCAGATCAGAAATATGCTATTGCTCTATTTTCAGTTTATTTGTTTCCAACCAAAGGCATTTATTGTAATGCTTTATTGATATGGAATCTGCACCTTCCCATTTTTCTCCCAGCCTTCTGGTCTTTCGTGTGGTTTGTGGGATTCTGTTTCCTGGCCAATCAGTGGCAGGTGGCTAAACCAGAAGATAACCCCCTCAAAGAGGGTGGAGACGCAGCCAGAGCAGCCATCACCTTCGCCTTCTTCTCCATATTTACTTGGGTCTGTACTGACTTAATTATATCTTATTCTTCTGTCATTTTTCATTTAAAGTGAATGTTTCCTACAAAATCTAATTGATCTGAATCATAGTTCATTTGCGAGATTCAATGTCTACATTTTCTTCTCGGTCAGAATTTTCATTTTATTATATAGATGATGGCTGGGCCCCTTTCTCTTCCCAAGGCCTTTTATTAGACCAGATTACATTGGTGATGAACCAGTAATATTTGTATCACTTCTTTAGTTTTATAGTTTTTATTAATATTTTGAATTAGCTTCTTTATATTTTCAGTTTTCATTTAATTCTAGTTTGACTTCCAATAATTGTATGTGCTTTAGTCATGTTTATTTTTTTAAACATATTGTACTTCTAATACATCACGTTAATAAATTTTTTTATTTCAATTTTAGTCATTTTAGTACTTAACATTTTTTTAGTTAGTTGCCAAGGTAATATTTCAAATTTTCTTTGAAGTTTTTTCATCTAATAATTGCATTTTATTAGATTGCATGCATGTCATGCTTTCTTCTTAATGAATGACCTGTGAACATCAACCACTGTGCATGACCTGTGCTTCTGATCCACATGGCTTCATTCTAATGAATGAATCTTCTTTCTGTACTTTGCTCTCTAGCTTCTTTTCCAGAGAATTCACTTATTTACCCCAGTAATCTTTGCTTCGCTGTTTGCAGATTTCTTTCTAATCTCTAATTCATTAAAGCACTTCTCTTACAGAACCCACCCAGCTGCATCGATAAGATTAACCCAGTGTTGTTGAAATGTCTTTCCCATCATTCTTTCTGTTGATCGTTGGCTCTGGCTGATGTTTTTTTTTAGGGTGTTCTTACATTCTTGGCCCTGGAGCGCCTAAAGAAAGTCTCATTTGAAGAGGAATACAACAAACTGTTCACCCCTCATACGCCATCTCCATTTGTTTAACATTTACCTTACACATACTTGTTTACTATGCCATAGACATCAACTACAGAAGCACCCCTCAAAAAATCCAACAGTCATGGAGACCAATGAAGATGTGATGTTTTTTGATATGTGGTTTGTTTTTTGTTACAGTGCCATATCAAGCCCTGAACTTTCTTGTACAAACTGGGAAGAGTTTTAAATAACATATGATACATATCTGCCTGGAATTATGAAATTATTACAATAGGATCTACAGTGAGATGATCTAATTTTCACCTTTAGGTCTATTCCAGCATTTATCATGCAAGTAAAGACTGGGGTTAAAGGTACAGTACGTTTCAAAGGTTTGGGGTCAGTAAGATTTTTTGAAAGAAATTAATACTTTTATTCAGCAAGGATGCATTGAATTAACCAAACATGGAATTCAATTCAATTCAATTCAAGTTTATTTGTAAATTACAATTTACGATACAAATCATTGCAAAGCAACTTTACAGAAAATTACGTTTCTACAATATTTAGTGGTAGCTTATCAGTGGTGACTGTCAGTTAATGTACATATGGCAGAAATGTACGGAAAAATCTATTAAAGACGTAATCAAACAGACGATGAACACTATTAACAGCAATTATTATATAATGCAATCAAACTTATAGCAAAATGTGGTAGTTCTGTATGTTGTTTCAGGGTTGGCATCATCTGAGGTCCTCTGAGGGGTTGGCATCATCTCTTCTCAGGTGTTCTGGATCCAGACTGAAGCTTGTGTCAATCCTAGTTACCACAGGATGTCAATGACTTCCTTCAAAAACATTAACAGAGCTTACCAACCCCAAACTTTTGAATTGTAGTTTGTGTGCTAGAAAATCAATGCTTTCTTGGTGATTGTTTTTTTTTTTATTGCAGTGACACTTTTAATTGAATAGGGGGCACCAGTTGCACATTAAAATGTTCAGCTGAGCTCTTTACAGAATTGTTTTGTAACATTATGCAAGATTGTCTACTCTTCAGGATTTGTGGCCTGATACTTTGACGACATTACATGCTCATTCACCTCTGTTGTTATCATGGCATTTCATGATCTTATTTTAATACAGTTTGTTTACAGTTGAGCTGTTGTTGTTGCTTAAAATCTTTAATGTATATTTATCCTATGTGATTGATCTTATAATGTATACTGGCAGATTTGTTTGATTAAATTGTCTTAAGTTTGTCTCAAGTTCTGGTTTTATGTTTTGTTTTGGATTTAGGTTTTCTAAGTGTATGTTTAAAGAGTTTGGTTTAAAAGGTTATAGCTAAATATTCACGACTCAGTTTAGCTTAAAGCTGACTAACCATCTAAATCTTATGTTTTAATCAAACTAATGCTTTTCTCTTTTTCTCTCTCTCTCTCTCTCTCTCTCTCTCTGGTCCATCCTGTCATTCTTGTTAATTCCTTTCATTTAATTCTTACCTGTTTCCCTAACTAATACCATTTCATTCACTATTCACCATCAAAACTGAAAATTCCTCCTCCTCCTCTCCTGTTGCCATAATCCTATAATTCTTATTGAAATTCCCCCTGATCCCACCCTCTAAACCTCTCCTCTTGGCATCTTCATTTTCCTAAAGGCTGGTCAAGCTTTTTTCGCATTCCAGAGGTACAAGTTAGGTGCGAGCTCATCTCTCTTCTCTCAGGACTATACTGATCCCAGCCAGGATCCCGCAGGAGTGCCTGCTGCAGGCACGGAGTACGCTGGATACAGCGCTGACATGGAGGCTAATTATGACGGCTCTGGTGGATACCAGAACCAAGAATACTAAGGTCGAGTATAAGGATGTACAAAACAGCCTTAACAAGCCAGGCTGACTGGGTTACATGGGGGAAACTAAATATTTGAGGTGAAAAGGACAAACAGGAACTTATTTTGGGGTAGAATATAGGGACCAAAGCAGGCTGACAGGAATTCAGGGGTTTGGTGCTAAAAGAACCCCTTGTGGAATTAACTTTTGGTGGCAGTACATGATTAATGAGCGTTTCATTAAGTCTATATTAAAATATGATATTTTGCAGTTTAGAGACTGGCACAGGATCTCTAGAAAGTGTTTTTTTGTTTTGTTTTTTTGCCTTGGGTTTTGGGCTTATGGGTTTGATCAGATTGATTGATCTACAGATGTGTGTACATCCTGGTTTAGTACACTTTATCCAGATTTGTGAAAAGAAATCTAAACTAAACTAATGGAACTTTGTCTCTAAAACAGTCATAGGAACTAACTAGCTTAATATTGGCCATACAGTAATAGTGAGAAAACCTGACCAAACTAAATATTTCTAAAGACCACAGTGTCTTTTTGTTGGTAAAGTGTAGGCGCTTCAATGGAATATATCGTTAACCCTTAACCTGTCACCAGGGCCGCATTAACCATTGGGCTAGGGGCCCTGCAGTAAGTCATAGCCCCGGGGCCCAGTGAGGTCTTAATGCGGCCCTGCCTGTCACTAGAACAGATACTGCATTGATAGCTCTCTGCTGCCATTTTGTCAATATCCAACGATCTTAAAAGATCATTTTTAACAATGTCATGTTCGGGATTACATCAGTCTCTGCATTGTACCAAGAGAGAAACTGAATGGTATAGACCAGGGGTGGCGAACGTCGGTCCTGGAGAGCCGCAGCCCTGCAGAGTTTTGCTTCAACCCTAATCAAACACACCTGAACAAGCTAATCAAGGTCTGAAGGGTTACTAGGAAGCTACAGGCAGGTCAGTTTTAATTAGGGTGGGAGCTGAACTCTGCATGGCTGCGGCTCGCCAGGACCGGAGTTCGCCACCCCTGGTATAGACTAATGTAATACAGAGAGTGAAAAATATTGAGAAACAATTAAGGTACATTTTTGAGAGCTGCTGAACTGCACGTTGTTTTTTTTAAGTTGTGCGGCTATGGGTGCATTATTTAAGGTATGTTTCTTTACAGAAAGGCGACATTTCATACGCACAGTGGTCCCAAACAGTATTTGGTCTCTTAAGCAACATTTAAATAGCATATATGTCTGTCATTGCACAAAATATCAAACCAATGTCATTTATTTTAAAGAAAGACATCACAAGCACACTTTTCAAGCAAAGCATTTCACACAAAGTAATTTGTTGGTTTATAAATTCTAAAACTATGGACCTATTGTAGCTAAGTCATCGCCAAATAAACAACATTTCGCGGGCAAAAAGCTCCATTGTCTATTGGCGATAGTTTAGCAATATACGAAGCACAGCCCACACAGAAACCACGTTCAAACCAACACATTTTCTGTTAATGAACGGACAAATTCTCGTGACGAACTCGATGCGAAATCTAGGGGGGGAGGGAGGGATATTTCGCCCTTGCGCCAAACTCCTGATCGCGCGGACCACACCTTTAATATGATGAACACCTGTGTGAAATTGGGCTACATAAACTACAACCACCTCGGAGTCAGTTCATGCATTTTAAAGTGTGACTTAAGAGTCCATGTATGATTTAGGGCCGCTGTGCATGTCGTTTTCATCATGGTAAACGTTTACATTTGTATCTAGACTAGACATAATGACCTTTGAGGTTGTTATTAATAGGCTATCTTTTAATCATGAATGTAAACAATGTGGTGCAACACAAAAATTCACTAGACTTTGAAACACGTTTTTCAAAAGGGAAATGGCCAGGCTAACACTCGGCTGCATACTAATTCTTTATGCTTCACTCTAATGTGAACAAAAATGAGGCAGAGCCCCTGAGCATGAAAAATTAGCACATTGTCTAAATATGACAAATTAGTGCTAATGACTACAGAAGACAAACCCAGCCAATACCTCACGATTATGCTAGGAAGAACAGACTAATAGACTTCATTTCAATGCTAATGTGTCAAATCTTTAGGGCAAATGGTCATGTCATTATAATGGTCTGTCACTTGTGGAAATATTTTTCATAATTATGTATGCTAATTAGTTCCTTTGTAGCACCCCTAGTATTGTTCTCTTGCAATCTTTTTTTATCATTTACATTTTTTTTTTGTTTTTGATCATAGTTACTGTAAAATCTCTTGCACTAGAGCAGCAGCGTTGTGCATTACAGACAAATTATTTTTTATTTTAAATTGTTTAAAATAAAAATAAAACAATTATTCATAATTATGTACCTGAATATATAAAACCAGCATATTTTTATTTAATGACAAAGATGTAATATAATCAAGTACACAAAATATCTTTATAAATTTATTACCAAAATAACTCAAAAATAATAATAATATCAATTGTGTATTTTGCATTTAAAGGTGTTGTAGAATAACATTTATCCTTTCTCTGTTTAGGAAGTGACATTGTTTTCTGAATCGGGAAACTTTTTTCTCTTATTTTATTTCTTGTTGAAACTCCTAAAAAAGGAAAGCTAAAATACAATCAATATATTATATAGGTGATGTATCAGATGTGTTCTTATATAATGTATATGTGCAGTTATGGAGCTGGGATAAAAAAAATATTGTAAATTCTTTTGATGTGGTGACTGTCCATTAACTAAATCACTAGGTTAAAATGGCTCAGTGTATTTTGTCCTGTCTTGTATGTTGCTTGTCTGGTAAGACGTCTGATATAGCTGAAAATAAAAGAAATTGACTGATGGACATAGTTTCTTATTCTTGTTTCTGTTCATAACTGGGTTTGTACAAAAAAAATCTTTTGAATTTCTTTATATATATTTGTCTATTAATAGTATACATTATAATATTTTTTTTATTAATACGCAAACTATATGATTTTTTAGGATGTTCATGAACAAATACAAAGAAAAAATAAAATAAAATTAGAATTATAAAAAAAGGGTTTAAGCATAAAAATAATAAGTATAATACTGCTTTAAATTGTTGTTTTTCCAAAAAAAAAAAAAATTTAATGTTTAATTTAATTGCAATTTTGTTTTTGTTTTTCTGAGCAAAAAATAAATATACATGTTCCCCTGATTTACAGAAGAGACCCATTAAAATGTCATTCAGTGTAACAATCTTGTCAGGCATATTTACAACAAAAATCAATTTATGACATATTAAAAGACTAATTACTTTCACCCCAAATATTAATTAGTTGTAATTTTACATTTTTAAAATGTGCCACTATCCTAGGTTTTGCCCATTTGTCAGTAAGAATTTTTTACTCATTTAAAACACAATCAAATTTAATATTCTCCCTTATTTTTTATACATATTTTAATATGTACATGTCAGAATAAGCATGTTGTTTGAATTTTTACATAAATATTGTGTTACACTGAATGACAATGTAACATTATTTCAACCAAATTTTGACATTTTATTCTCCAAAAAGTTATTTGAAACCTTAAAGGATAGGCACTTTACTTATATGTAATGTGCTTTCTATGGACATAAAATCACTTTTGTTCATTTCTTTTGATGCAGACATCTTAATGTCTTTGACCCATACACAAATTATTGCAATTTATGAATTAAAATGTTGATTCTGTGAACATTTTTATAAGTTAGTATGTAGTGTGTCTGAAAAGTATTTACACTACTTTTCAGGGGCACCATATGCAGCATGGACATTTTGGTTTACCTATAGGCCTATACAACCTTATAAAAATTTCTAATTACTGCTGTATACTACCATATAAAAATTCGAATTTCTTATTTATTTATTTATTGAACCATACATAAAAAGGATTATGCTTTAAAATAAATGTTACTTTGCTCATTTGTAATGCAATTAAATTCATTTATATTTAAGTTTTGCTTAAGCATCCAAATGCTTTTTGTGGATAGTGTATGAACATGCATGACAGGAAACAAATTTAGTGCGCATGTCATAATCTACAGAACCAGCTTCATTACTGGAGTGATGTGACATTTCCTGGTTCTCATGCTTGTGTAGCTCTACATGGTGCTACATTTCCATACTATAGTATGCTGAGTGGCCACATTGCAGGAGAGGGACGGCACAAGGGTGAGATCAGTTCCTGTAATCGCCTAGTGCGTCACTGAGAGAGCAGTCAATGACAGACGGGACAGAATGTATGTGTAACATGAGAATATGACTGTCCATAACCTCTGTCCACACAGCACTATATTCATCTGATGAGTGAAAACAGCACCAGCGCTCACTTGGTCTGTCACTGAACACATGCTATGACTAATGCTTTTCCATATTAACTATATTTTATAGTGGTTGTTTGAGAAGAGAAAAAAAAGTTACGTATTGAAACATTTTAAGTTATTGATCATTTGGTAGTTTCCTACAACTTTGCAACAACATATGTTTAATCTGCATACATAAATAAATAAATACAGCAGCATATAGTAGAGTTTTTTTTTTTTCTTTTATGTGATATTTAAAAAAAAACAATTTTAAGGGATTATATTTGCAGAAGAAGATTAGTACAGAACAATTGCTGTCACATGTTTATAATCTCCTGTCTGGTTACAGATCCGAACACTGTTTACTTTCCATTGAAAGCCTTTTGATGTCTGTTAATAGGCTCATGGAGGAACAAATGTCATGCTGATACAGTGTGATCAAGCATTTCAGCATCAGCAACAGAATCCATTCAGATAATAACTAAAGAAACATTTAGATAGATAGATAGATAGATAGATATGTTTGGAATGTGTCATGGAAATTTGAGTTGCTGGGGATTTCTTAGGTCTTATATGCGTGTTCCAGTGCTGTGCTACAGTGTGTCTGTGAATGTTTTGATATGTGGGTGTGTGAGTGTCAGGTGTCATTGTAGACAAAGTACGGAGTGATTCCATCAGCCAGAAATAGCAGCAGAGCTCTATAAAAGTCTGACACACGCTCCGGCAGACAGATGACCAGACAGAGCAGGAGACAGACAGACGAGTCCTCCCTCAAACTCAAGAAAAAGAAAAGAGAAAAAATCAAAGAAAATTACAAATCTTTAAAACAGTATTGTAAAAGAGTTCAGATCTTTGACTGACATTTACATTTTTAAGCCGCTCACAAACAAGTTGAAGATGCAGATGTGCACAGTCCTGGAGAAAAAAGGTGGATGTGTGGTTGGAGCCGAGCTCAGCTGCAGTGTGAGGGAGGAAAATCCAAATATGAAAGAGAGTTACACCGCTAACTGGCGCAGCATCAATATGAAGACTCAACCTGAGGATCGGTGAGTGCATAGACATTCACATACAGTATATACAACTAGATGGAAGCTATTTATTTATTTAGAATTTACTGAATGTCAAGGATCTCTATTAAAGCATTCTAAATCTTTTAAAACAGATTTAATTATGATTTATTTTTTAATAAAAATAATATTAAAAAACATTGCTTAATTAATATTTTTTGTCAGGATTTTAAATAGTAAATTTACCTGAGCAGCAAAATTGCAAAAAGTAAATAAATAACAAGACTTATTTTCAGATAACATATTGAATTACACTGGGAAATATCTTTTTCTTGTTTAAAACATAAACTTCACAAGTTTATGTTTTAAACATTTGCCAGTGACATATATTCTCTAAAAACAAATCTTAATATCTTTGTATCTTATGCAGTTCAGTTTATCTGGATTTAAGCATCTGTAGATGTTTTTAATTAAAAAATACTTTATTATAATTAATATTTATTATTATAATAATATTGAGGTTTTGCATTGTATCTTGCATAAAATAAGGTTAAACACACAATTAATGTCAAAACTTTCATTCATAATTCTCCATTTTTCTCCCTCTCCAGCCAATCGATGCTGATGTCAGACGACTCTCGCCGGGAGTCCCTGTCCCGTTACTGGCAGGCACGTCCTCTCAATCAGGCCTGCCCATCGGGTGTTGTCAGAGTGGGCACTGTGGACACAGGTGTAAGGGAGCACCAGCTCTTACCCAACAGGAACAGCCTGCCCCTGCCCATCTTTAAGCCTGCTGAACTGGGTGTCCGCCTGGGCCGTGGAGCTCCACACACCCTGCAAGATCTGCCTCCCGCCAGGGTTCCCGACGGAGCCTGTCCAGACAAGAGACCAGTGGAACAGATCACCAGGGACCTGCCGCCCGTCAAGCCCATGCGAATGGAGTTTGCTAAAGCACCCAGAGCCCTGGGCCGATCCATGTCTCAGGAGGCCCAGAGGGGCTGAAGAGCAGAAAGACAAATATGAGTCAAAGACTGTATGGACGTTATTAAATAATGATACAAAAGGCAGGATGAGACAGAGGGGGTAAGCAAGTAGAAACTGGTTTTTAGGGATAGTCAAACAGCATATGCAGAGAGTGAAACTTCAAATGATGAAATGATGTTCATGATGGCAAAAAGAAAGCTGATGATCCTGATAATGAACTTGATGACAAGAATTATGCTTTGTATAGTAAATTTGAGTTGTAAATAGTAATTGCTTGTTTTGTATTGATTATGTTAAAAACACAGCACTTTTTGTTCGGTTGCCATTAACTGAATGTGCACAGGTTCAATTTTGAGCTCATGTGGATGTTTTTAACATGCTGTCAAGGTTAGTTATGCAAAAAAAAACAAAAAAAAATGTAAAAGAGAAAAACTTTTAATTTTGTTAAAACTTGATTATTTAACAAATAAGAAGCACTATTCATTGACAGTTGGTATTTTTTGTTGAATTCATTGATAGTTGATATTTGCTATTTACCTTAATCACTTCAATAAAGGTTTATTAGTATAAAATCAATTTTGTTTTTGCTTTTATATTACTATTAATGAGAAGAAAGAAAGAAAGAAAGAAAGAAAGAAAGAAAGAAAGACTCTGTGAGAAACAGGTGCTATTTTTCCTGAAATAGAATAGAATGGCATTGTTAATCAGGAAAGGAGATCATTCCTGCCACAGCTACCATCAATGTATTAGCATGGCACTACTTTCTTCTTTAAAGGTTCACTACGGAGCTTCTGTTGCCATCTGTGGCCGAAACATAAAACTGCATGTTACTTGTGGAGACGGCCTGATCATTTTGCGCAAACGAGTTCTTCTGATTGCCTACACAACGCTAAAACAAATAGGCTACTATAACCTGTAACCTTAATCATATCTTAATGGATATGCTACTGTTTTTCATGATCGGATCCATCCATGAATATTTTTTGAACTCTGAACTGATTCCATTAAGTATTAATTTGACCAATGAAATCGGCTACGGGGTTTGCGCTTATCGCACCCGCACCCCGCTGTTCGGCGCGGATGAATCTGATGGTTTGAGGCAGTGGTGCCCAAACTCGGTCCTGGAGGGCCGGTGTCCTGCAGAGTTTAGCTCCAACTTGCCTCAACACACCTGCCGGGAAGTTCCTAGTATGCCTAGTAAGAGCTTGATTAGCTGGTTCAGGTGTGTTTAATTGGGGTTGGAGCTAAACTCTGCGGGACACCGGCCCTCCAGTTTGGACACCCCTGGTTTGAGGTATTTAGGCCTACACGAACACCATATTAAATCCAATTTGACCAAGACCCACTAGTAACGAGAAAGTCACTCAAAGACAAATATCTGAAAAATATGTCGTCTGAACAAGTAACATAATATGTCATCGTAGTAGGCTATCCAGATCTCTGTTTACGGACATAAAGTAAACACGATAGGATGAATGAGATGAAAAGGAATTTCCTGCCAAATCCGACCTGACCCTCATAGTATAAATCAGCCTTCTAGAGAGCTTTTCACATATGCCCCTGATTACAAGAATATTTTTGTCCATTTATATTACATTGTTTTACACATAGATCATTAAAAGCATACAAACAAGGACTGTGCATATGTTCTGTAATATGATGATCAGTTCTGGAATAGGAAATGAAAAGAGGGGAGGAATGGAATGTGAAGAGGCAGTCGGGCAATGGTCAGAACAGACAGTGCTTTGGCATCTGTGCAACTCTCATTAGTTTGTTCTTTATAGCAATGCTTAAAAGACTTCAGCTCAGTTTATGACTGTTCCAGCATTAGCAGTCTGGTTGTTTTTTGTTTTTTTACAATAGTATATTATAAGGGAAAATTACCTGCACTCATTTTACTATATTTTTATTGCAACAAATCCTGGCCATTTTTACAGTGTGTTAATTAAAAGGTATTTTTTTGCTTGAGAAAGAACAGAGTAATTGAATTCTGAAATAAATAATATAGGAGCTGAGATTTTTGATGGATGACAAACAAGTAAGAAATCACATCAGAAGCGTTCGTCAGTAGAACAGAGTGCTTCAAAAAGGACAGAAGAGTGAAGCTGTGCTGTGACTCTGGTACATGCTGTCTGCTTCGGCGTTCTGTGACCTTGTGCCAAAAATGTCATAGTCAGGAGGACACACTGTCTTGTATGCTATCTCTCACTTTATTTCTCTTACTGATCTCGCACTAATTAAAATATATCCTTTTATTCTAGTCGTAATCATGGTAATTTTTCTCAGTATGTGCTGGTGTCACACTGACGGCTACTAGATATTTATAGCTAAATAAACAGAGCCAAAGGACGAGACTCTAACAGGACGAGAGGGAGGAGAGGTGCTGGCGCTGGTGGTGACGGGGGGCTTCTGCACCCCTCCACTGATCCTTTAATCCTGCTTGTTCTCGTTCTTTCTGCTGTTGGATTTTTCAGCTGCTGCAAATGTCGCCACACTCAATCAGCTTTGGAAACTCAGCTTTGGAGTTTATTTCTGATTGTTGGACATCCCATGTTACATAATTAATGATTATATTGTATGATATTGTATAAATTGTTAGTATTTCAGATGTATTTTTTTTAGATAAAAAGAAATTATAAGAAATGAAAATTCTAATTTGATGTGCAATGTAAAGTGAAAAGACTTTTTTGATGCATGCCAGAAGAAAAAAAGAAGAAGCTGGGGCCTTATACTCCATCCATGAACACCTTTTAAGATGTGATATAAATGAAATTATTCAAATTGGTTGTAGTTTGGCTAGCTATATAAGTCTGTATATTATGATTAGGAGTGATTGGAACATGACTGTTCATCTTGTTTAAACACCAGCAGCTTGAAGAGCATGTGTGTCCGTGCAGTTTTGGTGGGGTGGGTTGTCAGCTGATTTTATTTGGACCCCCGTCTGTCTCCTGGAAGCTTATGACGAATCTTCACCTTTATGTGCCAGCATCATTGATGTGCTTGAGCTCTCAGATAACCCGCATAACAGATATGTGTTATGAGTCATTGCATGGCAACACACACAGATACACGTTTATTTAGAGAATGAGTGTTGTTGTGATGTTTTCTGCATAGTGCATTTTAAAAATCCAAAGAGCAAGTCTATCTAAAACAGATTTTCCTTTCCCTTCGAATTGTGAGACACTATAAACAGCGTGACTTCTGTTCCTTTAAATAAATGTTCCACGTGCTTATAACTCCAAATGGAAAACTGCATGTGTTTAATTGGTGTGGTGTGGAGAATTATATTGCATAAGAGGGCAGATCTGACAGAGATACATCAGTCATCACTGCAACAGGCTTTACAGACACACACAGCCTGTAATCCACACCACTGCTAAGCACGTCTACATTAAGAGTGTGTGTCTGTATACACAGCGCACAAGTCTAAGTGATGACAGTGCACAATTTCTGCAAGTAAAGGGCAAAGACTACATTACAAAACACACACGTTCTTCTAACATACACACAAGTCCTAATACGTGACTGAAAATTTAAAACCCCTTGTGCATTTGAGAGAAACACGCGCACACACACACCCTCTTGTGGTAAGAGTAGGTATTCCTGTGCACCGGCATGTTTTTCCACAGCAACATCTAAACTGTAATCACATTGCGTAATATGTGTGAGAAAGTATTTAAATACATAACCTAGACCCACTTATTCCATTCCCCAGCATCCCAGTGCATTCCACCATATATTTTTGCTTCTATCCCTTATTTCTTTTTTTTTTTTATGAACGATCAGGTCATGCACAGTTATTCCTATTAAACAGTCTTAATTATGGTCCAATATCCCTGACAAACCCCTTTGGCCTAACAGAATCTTCAAATGAACAAAGTACGCAGATTAGATGCATTCATCTTTTTTTTTTTTTATAAAATAAAATATAGGCTATTTATATTATCACACTTTCTGATGTTTAACAAAATACTTGGATAACATGCTTTTCGTCCTCTTGAAAAATTACACGCATGCGCAGTATCATCATCAGCTCACCGGTTCTCAAATCGGACGTGTCCGAAAGAAACGGTTCTCGGTTCAGTGTACCGGTGATCCGAAAACCGATGCAACCGGTTCTTGACTCGAGAACGAGAACCGCTCCAGCAGTGGGCGTGTACGTTCGTTGTCCGGCTCGCTGCAGGCATGCTGCTCTGCTCGTGTTCATCTTCAGTTCTCTCTTCACTGCAGTTCAGTCAGTGTACTGTTTGAGTAAATGAATTACTCCGGGATATTGGTTTATTTCGACTCAGAGGGAGTGTCAGCCACGTTTAAAAAAAGTGAATCATTTAAGTAATTTGTGGATTAGTGCTAACTGGAGATGCGAACCGTTTCAAACGATTCAGCCGATTTGGTGAACTGGTTCAACCGGATCACTAAGAAGAACCGGTTAAATCGAACGATTCGTTCGCGAACCGGACATCACTAATCTACACACCCCCAGACCCAGAAACCTGTTAACACAAGAATCTGTTGAAAAATGACTGATTGTTCTGCTATTTTAAATATGAATAGCTTTCACTGCACTCACATTTAACAATGGTGCCTAGTCCAGAATTATGAAAACATACAGGTCTGGCAAGTTTAGAATTGTGAAAGTACATGCAGGTCTTTTCTCTGTCAAGGTGAAGCACCAACTGTCTCATAAGCAGGGCAATGCAGTGTCAGTGCATAGCATCGGGTTTGGTATATATGTCTGAATATATTGGCTATTGAACTCATGACATTTAAAGGAAGATATCATTTTATCACGTTTACTTTATCACAATATCACAATTAAGTGATTACATGTGAATCTTAAACAATTGAATTACTTCAAGCATTAAGCAAGATATTTAAATCTTGGATATACATTTTTGATATTTATGATATTTACGTTTTTGGCAACAGTTGCTTCTAACTTCTTTTTTTTTTTTTTTTTTTGCAATTTAAACAAAATCTAACATTTATAGACATTTAATAAGCTGTGAATTTCTTTCTCTAATTATAAAAAAAAAGTTGAAGAGTCCTAGGTACTGCATGACATTATTTTACAATATTATGTAAATATTATGTTACAATAATGTTAATATTTCTCAGCTCTATTGATGATGATCACCTAACCACAGCTGTTTGTGTAGGAAACATGTTACAGCATCAGCGCTTGCCAAAGACAGGTTGTTTCATGATGATTGTATCATGTAAATAAACAAAGTGATAGTTACAACATGTTGCAAGTCCTAAATTGTGAGGACAGATTAAAATCAGGAGAAATAGAGACGTGACACAGGTTAGCAGCTTCTCCGTCTTCACATGTCAGCATCTTTATTATTACACATCAGTATCTCTTATTAATGTGAAAAACATCTCTTAGCATAAAAGCATTTTTACAAATATATCCAACTTATTCTTCAACGTGGAAGTAGCCTATGGGGCGATACTTCCGGTTCATTAGTCGCTATAGGAAAATAACGAGGAAAAATTAGGTTACAACGTGCAGTAAATGGTAAAACTGTTTGCACTACAAATCAGTGTGTTCATAATTAAGTGAATACATTAAAACAATATGGTAAGACACACCAATTTGCGATATCAAGCAGCAAAACGAGCTGTTTTGTAGCCTACAGCTAAAAACAGCTGGAAGCAAATGAGCCTGGAAGCAAAACCCATAGAATTTACAAATGGCCGCGCCCATTTTTACGGGAAGAATAACTTCAGTTCAATTCACCCTTACATTACTGTGACAATACTACAATAATAATCATGTTTGTATTTGCAGATATAAATGTGACAAATCACATCAATATAATATAAAAAATAATATCTTTCCCTTTGTTTTCCTTTCCAATTTTTTTACAATTTCTGGGACAATATATGACAAAACTTACATTAATATGCATTACTCACTTTTTTTCACAACAACGTGGCACAAAGTCCATTCGATTCAACAAAAAACTGACATGGAAGGCTTAACATATCAGAACCAGATTAAATAAATAAACAAGTACGAGTGAGAAAAGGAAAATGAGAAAAAGCAAAGCAAAGCAAACGTGTGTGTGTGTGTGTGTGTGTGTGTGTGTGTGTGTGTGTGTGTGTGTTTTCAGTGTGAGCCGATTATACACATAGAGAGAGTATAGTTCCGATATAATGTGACTTACTGGTAGCTGCTGTTGTTGCAGAAAGTGCTCTGGTTTTACCTGTTGTGTGACCAGAAACCTGTTAACACAAATATCTTTAAAAACGATTAATTTGTTCAGCTATTTTTCTTTTTCTTCTTCTTCTTCTTCTTCTTCTTCTTCTTCTTCTTCTTCTTCTTCGTCTTCTTCTTCTTATTATTATTATTATTATTATTAACGGTCAGCGGTTATGGAAATTTGCTAAATTTGCTCAAAACAATTTCACTACTTCAAGCATTAAGCAAGATATTTACATTTTTGATATTTATTTTTGAAATGTAAGATACTTACAGTGGGTGCAAGTTTTTGTTTGTTTGTTTTATTTCAGTTATTTAATAGTGTTGAATTAAAAAAAAACATGAACAGAGACAAAAAAAACATTGATTTCTGAATTTGATTCATATTAGGTCTCAGAAAGCACTTTTTACAGATCTCAGGTTAACACAAACATCAGCGTGTTCATAATTTTCATGTGTTATATGTTTAATCCACCATCCATACAGAGATGGATTGCAGATTAAATGAAATATATGTCTGTGAATGTTAGACCTGGTGTGGACTTCATCACTTCAATCACACCAGTAAATGAGTGTATGTATTTTATAATACATGTATGGATTAAATTATGAAGAATGATGGATTGGAGATGTTCTTTTTTTCTGTGTTCTACATGCTTTCTGCAAGCTTTTTCAAATAGTTTTCATAAAGTGTTGGAGACAAGTCCCAACCACATCCGCAACAGACGTCTATGAATAATCTCAGAATTGGTGTTTCTGAAAAAGAAAAGAAAAAATCAAAGATAAATTTAATAGAAGGTGGGGCCAAACAACTGTTGATAAATGTGGTGGTACTTGCTTTACATCTCATTAGAAACCTGGCAGTTGAGGAAACAGCAGTCAGATCACAGACCAGAAGATAAGCATGAAGTTTAACACAGCTTTGATTGTTGCCGGAACCATACTTCTCAACATAGCAGGTAAAATCTTTCTAAAAATCTGTAACATTACAAAATTAGATGTAAGTTTAATAGTGTTTCTTTTGATTGTTTACTAACTGACAAGCAATTGAATTCCTAAAAACCTTTGTGAACATACACAACACACTTGACTGAATTTGTTTCTCATGATTGTTTCTTTGGATCTAAAGAAAGAGTTATGGTTAAACGCTTGGAATTGGTTTTGTAGATAAATCTAAATTGTGCATTTTTATTAATTTCCTTACACATGCAAAATGTATGTATATATTTTAATGGATGAGTTTAATACATGTGAATTCCTTCAGTACTGTTTAAAAAGTCTCTCGGAATGCAGCTCAGAATGGGTTGAGAGAATGTTTAGAGTGTACAGAACTGAATTATGAACGGGACTTTTTTTTTGGTCTCCATATAAATCATAAATAGTGATAAAGATAGTTTCCAAACGTTTGATTGTTTATTATATTATGTTTTACTATTGTAAGTATACTGTATATTATAATAATGTAAAATGTGTGATATTTCAATAATAAATATATTTAAAATTACAACTAGCTATAAACAGTTTATAGCTAGATTATTTTTCATAGGTTGATTGCTAAATTGCTGTACGTCTAAAAATAAGTCAAGTCATTTTTATGGCATATTTATATTATATTTGTATACCATAATCAATTATGGAAAAATATGGAAATTATGGAGACAGCAGCTCTAAACAGCAATATTGCCATTATTTCAAATGATGAAATCTGTGAAATATGATTGTATTAATAATTATTATTAATTGAAATAAAATGGAGTTCGTGGTTCCAAAGCAATGGCATGATTCACAAACAGATTTCATATTTAAAACATTTGAGTCAATTATACTCCGAAACTTCAATATGTCAAAAACTGACTGGTAAATATGAGCAAGCATGTTTCCATACATCACTTTATCAGCTCCGTCCAAAATGATTGTCTACTTAACTTTGTATTTGTCTACCCACAGGTTCCCTCGGCCAGTTAGATGGTAAGTCTTGCTCGACACAGAACTTTCTTCTATGACGGTGAGTCAGTTTTACAAGGAATTGTCACATTGTCTTTCCTCTCATCAGAGTGTGGTCAAGCCCCCCTCAACACCAAGATTGTTGGAGGGGAGGCTGCAACGGCAGGGGCTTGGCCTTGGCAAGTCAGCCTTCATATCACCTGTAATGGGAATCTGTGTTATTGTGGCGGGAGTCTGATCAATAAAGACTGGGTTTTATCGGCAGCTCACTGCTTGCAGGGGTATGTTGAAACCTTAAATAAGGCTTAAAGGGGTCATATGATGCTTTTTTTAAAGATCATTATTTTGTGTATTTGGTGTAACAGAATATGTTGACATGCTGAATATCTCTTTTTTTTGAGACTTTAGTCTTTGCAACTTCAGGGATCTTATCTATGCACAATCAGCTTGTAACACTCCAAAGAGAAAGGACAACTTGAAATCGCATCATATGACCCCTTTAAGATACAACAGTAGATAATAATAGTGGGATTAAAGCAAACTTTCTCTTTACAGATTTGGTACATCTGATATTATGATGTACTTCGGGCACCTGAGACGATCTGGCTTAAACCCTCATGAGACAAACAGGACAGCGAGTCGAATTATCATTCATCCTACCTATAACAATCCTAAACATGACAATGACATAGCACTGCTCCAGCTCTCCTCCTCAGTGACGTTCACTGATTACATTAGGCCAGTCTGTCTGGCAGCTGCTGGTAGTAAATTTGCTGCAGGTACAGAGACCTGGGTCACTGGATGGGGCAAGCTACAGTCTGGAGGTGAGTGAAGATTTCTCTGCCATGTAACTGAATACAAACAATACTGTTAACCTCAACAATGTTTTTAAAAGCCATTAATGTGTCCTCTGATCTGTGTCACAGGTTCGTTTCCTGACATACTGCAAGAGGTGCAGGTACCAGTTGTGAGCAACAGTGACTGTTATAATGCTTATGGAGGGCTCGTCACAAACAACATGATTTGTGCTGGATTGATAAAAGTGGGGGGCAAAGGTCCATGTCACGTAAGACAAAAATTATTAATTTTTAATCCAAAGCAATTTGCAAGACACTACTCACCAGTTTTTGGTCATCCGCAAACTTTACACTGCCAGTTGCTTAATTAAGCTCAGTCTTTACTCCACTGATCATGAACTAATACACTACAACTGCTTTTACTACACCTCATCAAGTCAAGTCAAGTCAAGTCTGCTTTATTGTCAATTCTTCCACATGTACAGCACATACACACAGAGAATTGAAATTGCGTTACTCTCAGACCCTTGGTGCATACAGATAACACTAACAGTAGAACATAAATACAGATAGATACAGATTAAATATAAAATACAACTATACAAATAATGTCAAATTTAAAAAATGTAAAAAAAATATATATAAAGCAGCACAAGGCACATGGCAGATAGAGTAAAAAAGATTTGTAGGTGGTCCATGGCTACATCACTACATCACTTTCAGAGACAAAGAGCATATACAGGCATGACCTAATTAATACCCTTGGCTAATGATGATATATTTACAGTAAGGCTTAATGATGATTGATTCGTCTGTGATAATAATGTTGTTAGTAATGTTCAGTTTCTTGCACAGACCAATCAATTAACTTCATAAGACCTCATAAGGAGCCATAGGTATTAATTTTGTGTTGCCTGTACTGCATATGCTTTTTTGACTTTCAAAGTAATGGTAGCTGTGGAGATGCATTTTATGAATCACCAAGAATTCAGCTTAAAAAAATCTTCTTTGCTGTTGTACTGAGTGGGAAAAAAGTCACCTACATCTTGGATGGCCTGAGGGCGAGTAAAAATGTAAAATGTATATTTACTGTATTTGCAGTAGCAAAGGCTCCCTCCAGAGTACACACTTCCTGTGTATAAGGAATTCACTAATAATCCGTGCATATACTGTGCTGATTAAGACACTTACATCACAGTAGTCATGTGTAAAATTAACAAATAAATAAATTAAATGAATAAATGCATACATAAAATAAAAAAGGTAGGGACCTATACTGCAGTCAGCCACCAGTGGACGATCAAAATGTTTTGGATTTCCTTTTGAGAACGAAAATTTTTCTCTCAGTGACAACAGAAAAAACCTCAGTGCTCTTACACTGACAAACAATTGAAAAATACACTGCCTCAGGAAAAAAAAAAAAAAAAAAAAAAACGCTTCGGTGGATACACAGCCAGCATAACTGTAACCTTTGCGCTACACTAGCATACTTATGTCTGTTACAGTTGCTTGCTGTGTATTGTCAGAGATATAAATGCTAAATGTTTGTCAATACAGGGCGACTCTGGAGGTCCAATGGTCAGTAGGAACGGCTCCCTGTGGATTCAGTCTGGCATTGTGAGTTTTGCTTGGGCCAAATGTGATGACCCCAGATATCCCGGTGTGTACGCTAGAGTCTCTCAGTACCAGGACTGGATCATCACTAACATAGCCAGCAACCCACCTAGATTTGTCGAATTCAACAACTATGGATTCAGAAGTTCATTCAACCTTTTTTTATTTTCCATTTCTCTCACATTCTCCGTCATTCCTTTCACCTTCTCCCTCTATCGCTCTACCTAAAGACTGTTTAAACAGTATTTCTCAGGGTTCTTTGATGAAGAAAACAGTTGTACTGTACTCGCTCTCATAAATAGGTGAAAAGAGTAGTTATATTGTTATTTTTGCCATTTATTCTTTCTGTTTTAAAAAAATCTTGAAAAGCTGATGTTAATGACATTAAAAACGCATAGACTAATGAAGTACAGCATGCTTGCACCTTGTGAGATTTAGGATGTTTGATCAGCCGATATTGATTTTTTTATAACAATTATTTGTATGTTTATATGTCTGATAATCAATATGCAGATTCAGTGTATATAGGGTCTGAAGCTCTGCGATGTGATGTTGTTAAAAATGTAATTATCTTTAATCAGTTACAATGTTGTCTCTCTCTTCATACTGTCTCAATATTTTTGTGTAAACTGTGATAAAAAAAATGTTCAAGATTATTTGATGCATACAAAAAGTTAAAAAAAAAAAAGGTTTAGAAGATACACCAAAACAGTTCTCCAAACATTCAAAACATTTAAAAAGATCTTAAATATTCGAAACTTTTGACACACACACACAGAGTCCCAGTAAAACATAAAAACCAACGTGTGTGTGTGTGTGTGTGTGTGTGTGTGTGTGTGTGTGTGTGTGACTGTTACATTTACATTTAGTAATTTATCCAAAGCGACTTACAAATGAGGACAATAGAAGCAATCAAAACCAACAAAAGAGCAATAAAAAGCACGTGCTATGACTAGTCTCGGTTAGCCTAACGCAGTACATGTAGCAAGGTTTTATACACACACACAGACACACACACACACACACACACACACACACACACACACACACACACACGTACATATACAC